TTGGAACAAGCTTCATGAAAGAATTGGGAGAACTTCCGCAAGCTCTCCTTTTGCTTGTATTGAAGTACCTGCATAAAAGGAGTTCCACAAAATAGTACTCCCAAACATGACAAAATAGTACCCCCAAACATCTGGAAGTGGTGGTTGTTTAAATTAAAATAGAAACATAGAAACAGAGCGAGTCAGAAAGGGCCTCCCGGGCCATCTAGTCTGACCTCTGGCACCAGCCGGCTCCACTCAGTGGTCACATAAAAGTATTCTTGCAACAGGCCTCCCTATGTTTATTTATTTATTTATTTATTTATTTAATTAAAACATTTCTATGCCGCCCCATTCGCCGAAGCCTCGGGGCGGCTCACAACATTAAGTTAAAATACAAACATTAAGTTAAAACATTAACGTAACATAACATTAAGTTAAAATGTTTGTAAAATACAAACATTAAGTTAAAATACAAAAAATAACAATATAAAATAAGTCGCCCTGGCCAAATAAAATCAAATAATATTAACAATTAAAATAACGCTTAAATGAAAAGGTCTTCGCCTGGCGCCGAAAAACAAATAACAACGGCGCCAGGCAGACCTCTCTGGGAAGCGCATTCCATAGATTGGGCGCCACCACAGAGAAAGCCCTCCTCCGAGTACCCACCCTCCTAATTTCTTTCACGGAGGGTTCCTGGAGAAGGGCCTCTCCCGCAGATCTCAAGGGGTGGGCGGGCATATATGGATGTAAGCACTCCTTCAGGTAACCAGGACCCAAGCCGTTTAGGGCTTTATAGGTCATCACCAACACCTTGAATTGGGCCCAGACTTCAATGGGAAGCCAGTGAAGCTGACGGAGAACTGGAGTCATGTGAACATAACGCCCAGTCCCCGTCAGCAGCCTGGCAGCTCTATTTTGAACCAATTGAAGTATCCGGACCGTCTTCAAGGGTAGCCCCATGTAGAGCGTGTTACAGAAGTCAAGGCGGGAAGTCACCAGCGCGTGTGTCACTGTCACCAGGCAGTCATACTCCAGGTATGGGCGCAGCTGATGAATCAGCCGAAGCTGAAGGGAAGCGCTCCTCGCCACTGCTGTCACCTGAGCTTCCAGTGAAAGCTCCGGGTCAAGGAGCACTCCCAGGTTGCGGACCTTGTCCCTAAGAGGGAGTGCAACCCCATTCAGGACTAGGTTCAATTCACCCTCTCCGAAGCCCGATCCGCCAACCAACAGGACCTCCGTCTTGTCTGGATTGAGCTTCAGTTTATTGGCCCTCATCCAGCCCATTACCTCGGCCAGGCACCAGTTCAGCACAGCCACTGCCTCACCTGGATTCGTGGAAAACGAGAGGTAGAGCTGGGTATCATCAGCGTACTGATGATTCCGCAGCCCACACCTCCTGATGACCTCTCCCAGCGGTTTCATGTAGATGTTAAACAGCAAAGGGGACAAAATGGACCCCTGCGGTACTCCATGGCATAGCTGCCATGGTGCAGAGCCAAAGTCCCCCAGCACCACCTTCTGGAATCGGCCATTGAGATAGGAGCAGAACCACTGCAAAGCAGTGCCTCCGACCCCCAATCCCACTAGCCTATCCAGAAGGATACCATGGTCGATGGTATCGAAAGCCGCTGAGAGGTCCAGGAGAACCAACAGGGACGCACTCCCCCTGTCCTTCTCCCAACACAGGTCATCGTACAGGGCGACCAAGGCAGATTCAGTACCGTACCCGGGTCTGAAGCCGGACTGAAATGGGTCCAGATAATCAGTTTCATCCAAGAGCACTTGGAGTTGCCCCGCCACCACCCATTCCAACACCTTGCCTGGAAACGGGATGTTGGCCACTGGTCTATAGTTAGTGGCCATCTCTGGATCCAGTGACGCTTTCTTCAGGACCAGTCGGACTACCGCCTCCTTTAAAGGGGCAGGCACCCGACCCTCCCTCAGAGAAGCGTTAACCACTTCCAAGATCCAGGTCCCAATCCCATGCTTGGAATTATTTATTAACCAAGACGGGCAAGGGTCCAATGGGCAAGTGGTGGGACGTACTCGTCCAAGTACCTTGTCCACATCATCGGGCCGCAATAACTGAAATTCATCCAATAATTCTGGCCAGACAGCAGCATTGGTGTCTCCCCAGAAACCTCTGATTCACTAGTGGTGTCCAGCTCGTGATGAATCTGAGTGATTTTCTCCGTGAAATGCCTGGCAAAGTCATCACAGCAGGCCTTTGAGGGTGGAACCAGATCTTCCTTAGGACCCGGGCGAACCAGGCCTTGCACCACTCGAAAAAGCTCTGCTGGACGGCATTGTGAGGAGGCAATGGGAGTGGAAAATAACCTCTTTTTCGCTGCACTCACCGCCACAGCATAGGCCCGATAGTGGGCTCTCAAGTGTGTTCGGTCAGATTCATCCCTTGATCTCCTCCACCTACGCTCTAACCGTCTCTCAACCTGCTTCATCGCCCACAATTCAGGTGTATACCAAGGGGAAGAGCGGGCTCTGCCTGCTGGGAGAGGACGCTTAGGAGCGATCGTTTCCACAGCCCTGGTCATCTCCCCATTCCACAGTTCGACCAGAGCCTCGACAGGAGCACCTGTCTTGTCAGCCGGAAACTCCCCCAGAGCCTTCAGGAATCCATCCGGATCCATCCGGCTCCAGGGGCGGACCCACACAATCGGTTCTGCACCCTTACAGAGGGAGAGGTCGCTCTCGAGCACAAACCTCACCAGAAAGTGATCTGACCATGACAGGGGTGTCAAACATAAATTCCTAACCCTCAGACCACCCTCTTCCTGCCCTGTGGAGAAAACCAGGTCCAGAGTGTGTCCATGTTCATGGGTCGGGGCAATGACGTGTTGAGGCAGCCCCATGACCATCATGGAGGCCATGAAGTCCTGAGCCGCCCCGGTCAGATCAGTCTTGGCATGGAGATTGAAGTCCCCCAGGACCAACATTCTGGGGGTCCTCAACACCAGGTCCGAGACAGTTTCCGTCAGCTCAGGCAGGGAGACTGTTGGGCAGAAGGGTGCACGGTACACCAACAGAATCCCCAGTCTGTCTCGGTCGCCCAGCACCAAATAGAGGCACTCCAGCCCTGGTCTCGAAGGGACAGGAAGTCCCGTGAGAAAGATGGAGGCTCGATAAACCAAAGCGACCCCCCCTCCCCTCCCCTCCGGGCGTGAACAGTGCTGAACCAGATACCTGGGTGGGCACAGTTGAGAGAGGGCTACATCCCCCCCTTCTCCCACCCAGGTTTCCGTGATGCAAGCCAGGTCGGCCCCCTCATCCACAATCAAGTCATGGATGAGGGAAGATTTATTATTGACCGACCTGGCATTGAGCAACAGCACCGTCAGGCCCGAGGGGTTCTTGGAATTCGGAGATCATGTATTTAGGGCAGCAAGAGTGCATCCCAGCCAGGAGTAGCTGGCTGTTAGGTTTTTCCATCCTTAAAGAAGACAGCCCTTGCTAGCCTGGTGTAAGAAGCCCACAAAACATGTGCAGTAGTGGTATTATTATTATTTGTCACCGTCATCTAGCTTGGGGGTCATTGAAGTGTGGATCAAGTACTGATTTAACACATCCACAGCCTCTCCTGCTGGAAACAAAAGGAGAAATAGGGTCCTCAGCATCCCAATGCTCCACACTGCAAAAGTCTAGATGGTGCCATCTAGTGGCTTCATGTTAAATAGCATGGGACAAAAAGGAGCCATGCTCAAGAATCCATGGGCTTGAGCATTATTCCCCAGGCAAGTTCCTCAATCAACCCAGCAGGCAACACGGAAAGTCCACAGAGAGAAGTCCTGTAGCATATGGAATTCTACTGCAGAAGACCCTTGCCAACTCAAGCACTTGCGTTTGGGGTGTCACCTCTCCTTTCCTGTGGGGGTCACTCTGGCTCTTTGATTTGGACATCTCTCCAAAGATGCGTTCCCCTTCTCCCTGGGTGTAACCGCAGTGTCCTTGGTATTGTCCTTGGAAGCGGAATGCTTCAACTGGTATTGGTGGACCCCATACTTCTTTCCAGGAATCTCTGTCCTTCAGATTTTCCAGTCCACCTGATACTAAGCCCTCTTTAATGTTTGCCACAGCCTCCCTTACAGGCTTCTTGTAAGGATACCATGGAAAGGAGGAAGGCCATGTACACGGCAGGAGGGTAAAGCAGCAAATACTTTTATTAATCATACATTTTAGCTCCCACCGCAAAATCAATATCTTTCCTAATTTCACCATCTGCAAATGAGATGGTACGTCATGAGAAGGCCAGACTGACTGGAGAGGACAATCCTTCCTGGGAAAATTTAAGGCAGAAGAAGAAGAGGAGGAGGACCAGATATGAGATGGATCAATTCCATGCAGAAGCCACAGAGTGGAGTTTCCAAGAGCTGAGCAGGGCTGTGAAAGACGAGCCGTTTTGGAAGGCTCTCACTGGTAGGGTCACCATGAGTCGGGAAGAACTTGAGCCTACGTGGCAGCAACAAATGAGGTGGCACATTGGGGTGGGTGGGGGACCCTTCAGCCCTGCCTTAGGTGACAAAGGCCTCGGGTACAACCCTATCCATGTTTAGACAGAAATAAGGTCTACAAACTGGTTGGAGCAAGCTGAGGTTGTGAAGCTTCTTTCTGCTGGAGCAAGCAGAGGGCTGTGCCAATGTGTTCCACTCCCCATCTGCCCCAAGTGACTGAAGGACCAGAGACAGAGCAAGACTAAGCAACAAATAAGCAAGGAGTAATCTTGTGCAGAAGGACAGACACTTCTATAACAGTCACAGATCAGTCCATAAATCACATAATAAATGCACATGAGCTACATAATTATACCAACAGTCAAAACAAGACGAATACCAACATTGCCCCAGGGTATAAGGTCTTTGAACCATTTTACAAAAAGTTCTCTGGAGACACTGGCCACCACACAGACCCTGGTGACCTTCCTGGTAGACTGGAAGGTGAAGGAAGGATGAAGAGCAGGATAATAATAAATACTTTATTTGATGCCATCCTTTTGAAGCGCTTTATGAGGAACTGCTGCGGGGAATGGCACAGACTTTGTAGGGCACGGGATGGAACGTCATCCCCATGACAGGTTCTTGGTTGATTTTGGTCACTCCCTCTGGCAGCTGGAACCGGAAGTTCCGCAGCAGGTGGGTCAGGAAGAGGAAGATCTCCATCCGTGCCATTTGCTCCCCGAGGCAAACCCGCGCCCCTGCAGAGCAAATAAGATGAAAAGAACCAGTGAGCCAGGATCCATCCCCTCTATCCCCTGGTGTATCTCATTCAGTCAGCAGCTGGTTTGGACCTTACGGAAAGAAAGTGGATTGGTGGCAGGCTCTGAGGAGACGGGGATCATCTGCATGTGCCTGAGGGATTCTGGGAAGTGAGCAGGAGAGATGTCAGACTTCAACTTGACTGGCCCAATGAGCAGCCTGGGATCTGAGGCAGCAGGGGTAATTTGCATACACCTGAGGAATTCTGGGAAGTTGTCCCGCACAAGGCTGAAGGGCTCTGCAGGGACCTGTTGGGACAGGTCAGGTGGCCCTGTGAGCCTGTCACCAAGGACATTCTCCTGACCCACAGCCATCCCTCTGAAGAGGGAAAACTTCTCCCCTTCACTTGGCTGGGTCATATCTGCTCCTGTTCTGCATTCATCCCTTTTCCACCCCTCATGTCTCAGGAAAGTTCGCCAGTGTTGCTTGAGCTGCTGTGCCCCCTCACCACACACCCCGCACTCCTTCCTCCAGGCAAAGGGTCTCTACATGTCTATCTAACATCTTTGGTTCCTCCCATCTTGACCCTCCTTTTGATGGAACAAAACAGCTGCTACTGTTCAAATCATTCATTTTTCTGGTTCTGCGTTGCTCATTTGATTCCAGTGCTGGTTTGTTGTCTGGTTGCTTAGCCTTAATCTTATTATTTATTATTATTATTTATTAAAACACTTTTATGCCGCCCCATTCGCCGAAGCCTCGGGGCGGCTTACATCACTAAGTTAAAATTATAATATAAATTAAAAATATAAATATTAAATTAAAAATACAACAATACAGTATAAAATAAGCCGCCCTGGCCAGATAAAATCCAGTAATATTAACAGTTAAAATGCCACTTGAATAAAAAGGTCTTCGCCTGGCGCCGAAAAACAAATAACGACGGCGCCAGGCGGACCTCTCTGGGGAGCGCGTTCCATAGATTGGGCGCCACCGCAGAGAAAGCTCTCCTCCGAGTACCCACCCTCCTAATTTCTTTCACGGAGGGTTCCCGGAGAAGGGCCTCCCCCGCCGATCTCAAGGGGCGGCTGGGCATATATGGATGCAAGCGCTCCTTCAGGTTATTAGCCCTGCATATGAGTACAGATCACCCTGGTTTTGGTTTAGGACCCACACCTGTGGTCTTCCTGTAGATATGTCATCCCTGACTCAAATGCACCGGGGCAGCCAGCAGCCAGTGGCTTTGGGAGGGGCCTGGCAAGTTGCTTTCCTGCCCCCCCACCCCCACCAGACAGCAGCCCCCCCACACACACTCAGCAGTCAGCCCTCCTGCCAGCCAGAATCCCTGCTGCTGATTATTCCCCCTCCCCCCCTTAAAAAAATAAACCCCTGGAAGGGTTGGTAGCAGTGGTTCTTCTCTTCCTCCAGCATGGTCACTGCCCCCTCCCCAAAAGACACCATGACCACACAGAGGGTCATTTGAAATCAAGGGTTTTTTTCAAAGTTTTCTTTTTGAATAGCAACATTCAGGATTGGAAAAGGTCAGTTTACATTCCGATCCCAAAGAAGGGCAATGCCAAAGAATGTTCAAACTACCGCACCATTGCACTCATTTCACATGCTAGCAAAGTTATGCTCAAAATCCTACAAGCTAGGCTCCAGCAGTATGTGGACCGAGAACTACCAGAAGTACAGGCAGGAGTTCGAAGAGGGAGAGGAACTAGAGATCAAATTGCCAACATACGCTGGATCATGGAGAAAGCTAGGGAGTTCCAGAAAAACATCTACTTCTGCTTCATTGACTATGCCAAAGCCTTTGATTGTGTGGATCACAACAAACTGTGGCAAGTTCTTAAAGAGATGGGAGTACCAGACCATCTTATTTGTTTCTGGAGAAACCTATATGTGGGTCAAGAAGCAACAGTGAGAACTGGACACGGAACCACTGATTGGTTGAAAATTGAGAAAGGAGTTCAGCAAGGCTGTATACTGTCACCCTGCCTATTTAACTTATATGCAGAGCACATCATGAGAAAGGTGGGGCTAGATGAATCACCAGTTGGAATTAAGGTTGCTGGGAGAAATATCAACAACCTCAGATATGCAGATGATACCACTCTCATGGCAGAAAGTGAAGAGGAACTAAAGAACCTGTTGATGTGGGTGAAGGGGGAAAGCGCAAAAGTTGGCTTGAAACTCAACATTAAGAAAACTAAGATCATGGCATCCAGTCCTTTCACTTCCTGGCAAATAGATGGGGAAGAAATGGAGGTAGTGACAGATTTTATTTTCCTGGGCTCCAAGATCACCGCAGACGGGGACTGCAGCCAAGAAATTAAAAGGCGTTTGCTCCTGGGGAGGGAAGCTATGGCAAATCTAGACAGCATACTAAAAAGCAGAGACATCACCCTGCCAACAAAAGTGCGTATAGTCAAGGCTATGGTTTTCCCAGTTGCAATGTATGGCTGTGAAAGCTGGACCATAAGGAAGGCTGAGCGCTGAAGGATTGTGGCCTTTGAATTGTGGTGCTGGAGGAGACTCCTGCGAGTCCCTTGGACCGCAAGGCGATCAAACCGGTCAGTCCTAGAGGAGATCAACCCTGAGTGCTCTTTAGAAGGCCAGATGCTGAAGATGAAACTCCAATACTTGGCCACCTAATGAGAAGGAAGGACTCCCTGGAGAAGAGCCTGATGCTGGGAACAATAGATGGCAAAAGAAGAAGGGGACAGCAGAGGATGAGGTGGCTGGATGGGGTCACTGAAGCAGTTGGCGTGAGCTTGAGTGGACTCCAGGGGATGGTGGAGGACAGGAAGGCCTGGAGGAGTGTTGTCCATGAGGTCGTGATGGGTCGGACGTGACTTCACAACCAACAACAACAACATTCTTTTTGAATAGCCGCATTCTGAACTAATCAGGCCCTGCCTTTGGGAGGACGAGGCCAACGCTTCAGTCCAGAGGCTGTTAATCATCTTTCAGTTTCCGCACAGCGTGGAGATCTGAGCTCTGTGCAAAGAGAGCCCTTAACCATGCAGGGATGTGGCACTACAGCCAGACAGCACAAACGCACCCTCCAAAAAAGCAGCATTTTCCCCGTTCCGAAAGCACCCAGGAGGGGCTCTGAGAAAGCAGGAGTGCAGCAGGAGAAGAGCCCATAACAAGGCCAGGTAGGGAATCCCCAGCGCACCATCAGTTCCTCATGCAGAAAACCACTTTCCGTCACTCCCGCGTCCTCATGAGGCTGGTCCAATCCCATCATGCTGACTCCCACCGCTGTTGCTCATGTCAGGAAAACAGCGTGTTGCAGGGAGACAGACTGGACCGGCTCCCGCTGCCCCTCCTCCTGCCAGCCGGGCTGGGCCAGGCTAGGAGGGAAGGGAAGGGAAGGGAAGGGAAGGGAAGGGAAGGGAAGGGAAGGGGTGGCAAGCAGTGGCAGCCCCAGCCTCCACCGCATTCCGACGCTCACATACGTCATGCATGTCTCACTTGACGTATTCTGCTGGCACGTCTGCGTTGCAGTAACTTGCATTTTGCTTGCCCAGAATTTGACTTAAACTCAGTGGGTTGCATCCTCTTTTAAAGGCAGCTACGTCATGGCAGCTATGCCATGGGGTACCACAGGGCTCCATTCTATCCCCTCTGCTATTTAACATCTATATGAAACCGCTGGGAGAGGTCATCAGGAGGTGTGGGCTGCGGAATCATCAATACGCGGATGATACCCAGCTTTACCTCTCGTTTTCCACTAATCCAGGTGAGGCAGTGGCTGTGCTGAACCGGTGCTTGGCCGAGGTAAGGGAATGGATGAGGGCCAATAAACTGAAACTCAACCCAGACAAGACGGAGGTCCTGTTGGTTGGCGGATCGGGCTTCGGAGAGGGTGGATTTGACCTGGTCCTGAATGGTGCAACACTCCCTCTTAGGGATAAGGTCCGCAGCTTAGGAGTACTCCTCGACCCGGAGCTCTCTTTGGAAGCTCAGGTGACAGCGGTGGCGAGGAGCGCCTTCCTTCAGCTTCGGCTGATTAATCAGCTGCGCCCCTACCTGGAATACGACTGCCTGGCGACGGTGACACACGCGCTGGTGACTTCCCGCCTAGACTTCTGTAACGCGCTTTACGTGGGGCTTCCCCTGAAGACAGTCCGAACACTTCAATTGGTGCAAAATAGAGCTGCCAGGTTGCTGACGGGGACGGGGCGTTATGCTCACATGACTCCAGTCCTCCGTCAGCTTCACTGGCTTCCCATTGAAGCCCGGGCCCAATTCAAGGTGTTGATTATGACCTACAAAGCCCTAAACGGCTTGGGTCCTGGCTACCTGAACGAGCGCTTACGTCCGTATATGCCCGACCGCCCTTTGAGATCTGCGGGAGAGTCCCTTCTCCGGGAACCCTCCATGAAAGAAATTAGGAGAGTAAGTACCCGGAGGAGGGCTTTCTCTGCGGTGGCGCCCAACCTATGGAATTCACTCCCCAAAGAGGTCCGCCTGGCACCGTCGTTACTGGTTTTTCGGCGCCAGGTAAAGACCTTTTTATTTAAACATCATTTCAATTGTTAAAACATATGATCTGGCCTGGGCAACTTCTTCTTCCTTCTCTTTCTCCTCCTATATTTTTATTTTATACTGATAATTTTAATTTTGTATTTGTAAATCAATGTATTTTTTGTATTGTTATATTTAATGGTAATTTATTATGTACTATTGTATTTCAATGTATTTTATCATGTTGTAAGCCGCCCCGAGGTTTCGGCAAGGGGCGGCATAGAAATGTTATAATAATAATAATAATAATAATAATAATAATAATATTATTAATAATAATAATAATAATAATAATAATAATAATAATAATAAAGGGTGGCTTGCTCGTTTCTGTCCACCTGGTTTCCACAAGCAACCAGGTGACTCATTCTGCATCAGCTGAGTTTCTGAACCGTCTTCATGGCCGCCTCACTTACAGCTCTCCCTGCAGTGACTGGATCCATTGTTGGGTTGGGTTCATTCAGGTTCAGGGGGTTAACACTTTCAGTTTCCATGCAGATGCCCCACTTCAGAGTGGGCTTTGACCCGGAGGAAATGGGGGTCTAACTCTTTCCCTTCATAATCATTTTTCCAGATCAAATTGATCTTCCAGAGATGCCAATTGCTTTAATGTATGAAAAGCATCTCAGGAGGGGACAGAGTTTGGAACTGGAAGAATGACATGGAGCAATAGTTGGAACCCCCTTTAGATGAAGCCCCCTTCCATTAGCAGAAAAGCATTCAGTGCCGGGGCTTCCTGACCTTGCCTGGGAGGCCACAGGGTCTGAGTCCCAGCTCTGAGATCCCATGGGCTCAGAATCAGAGCTCAGTCCCTGAAGGCCAAGCTGGCTCACCTCTGGAGGAGAGAGAACTGCACCAGCTAAGCCCACCCAAGGTCGTAACCTGACCTCAGGCAGGGCAAAAAAGAGGAAATGTGGGGTCCTGGTAGGGAAGGCGGTTGGGGGTGTTTCCCACTGCCAATTCTCACTGGTGCCCCAGCTTGCTTCCCTCCGCCTCCCAGTGCTTTATCTAGATATCTGAAAAAGGCCGTCTAGAAAACATGCAGGGCGGGAGACGCAGCCCTGCCATTCAGGGCTCCTGACTCGGCCGCATCTGCTGTGCAGGCAACTGGATTGCATCCATAACTATGTAAAAAAAAAGTACAGGAGATCCAAACAAGGACTTCCCAAGGACTTAAATCTACTCTGACACTCCACCTCTTGGCAAGAAGCCAATGGACACGACTAGAGGCAATTTTCACATTTACCTGCTCCAAATGGCAGAAATTCCTCTCTAGCCACGAAATTTCCATCCTTGTCCAAAAAATGTTGAGGGTTGAATTGTTCAGGGGTTTCCCACTGCTTGGGATCAAGAAGTACGGAGCGCAGATCCGTAACTACAATGGTGTCCTAGAAGGAAGAAAAGTTGACTCAGAATTCAGAATTCGTTTGGATCTGCCCACTCCCAGAATTAGTAATTTAACACCTCTCCCAATCCCTCACTCTCTCACAGACGTCCATGTGTGTGTGTACGTATATATGCACATATAAGACATACACTGTTGTATTTGCACAGGGTCGCAGTCCCAGCGCCACCTATGGGAAACCCACAAACGGGACTTGAGTGCCACAGCAGCCTCCCAACCATATGCCCCGGCAACTGGTGCACAGGGGCTTCTGCCTCCATTTCTGGAGGTTGTATGTTCCCACCATGCTTACTAACCATGGGTAGCATTCTCCTCCAGGGATCTGCCCAGTTTGTTCTGGTTTATTATTGAAATACAGATCCAGAAAATGCGTTAAAGGCTCTAAGTGCATTCAATCACCCTAAACCAGGCAAGCCACAAGCAGGTCAACACAGAGCACTCACACAAGCACCAAGCATGTCTGCTTGATGTGGAAGAAGCAGATCGAGATATCTGTTTGCCCCTCTCTTATACTACTAGAGCCCACAGATCATCCAGTGAAAGTGAACAATGGGAAATGTCCAGACAGAGATCAGGAAATACTGTTACACCATCGAACGCTTTTCCACAAGACGTGGCAATGGCCACCACCCTGGTGAGCTTTAAAAGGGGATTAGACGCATTCGTGGAGAACAGGGGGCGAACCCACAGGCAGAAGATAGTTTGCATTCTCAGATCCGAGCTCAGGAACAGAGCTCAGGCCTCAGAGGTGGGGATGCGTCGCTTGTCCCTTTGCCCTCACAGTCAACCTGGGAATAACCGTGCCAGCTGCTTCTCCAACATCAGAAAATGGACCTCTAAGCATGGATAAAGGGTGCAGGGAGGGGGAGAAAGGAAAATGGAGAAAGGAGGTGGGGGCAGCATGCTTTAGCCTCCACTCCACCCCTTCTCAAGTGGGACAGCTGGATTATGATGTCTGGCTGAAATGCAGAGCAGGGCAACTGGAAGGTGAAGACCACCTCCACCATGCCTCCCACTCTGCACTGGGAGCCTCTGCACTGGGGGCTTGCAAGCATCAAGGACAATCAATAGCTTTGCAACTGGAGGCCACTGCTGGGTCCTGGCTGTGATGACTATAGTCCAAGAGAAGTATGATCGCAGTAACAGTGGCTGACTCGTGAATGGAAAGGTGCTGCTGCATTCGTGTCCACTTTGTGGTTCCCACAAGCGTCTGGTTGGCTGCTGTAAGAGGAGAAAGCTGAACTAGACTGGCCGTTGCTCTGATTCAGCTGAGTTGTCCTGGTGCGTGTGCCTTGTGCGTATGCCTTTCTCTCTCTCTCTCTCTACCTCTCACTCTCTAACTATCCATACAGAGGAGGAAAGGGGACCCTGGAATTGCTACTGCAGGAAGGTTTGCCTGGGGAGAGTGAAGGCAAAGACCTGTCGGGAGGTGTGCCAGGCGACCATTGCCTGGGGGCAGTGGGGAGGGGAGGTTGGAGCATGGCAGTTAAACTCGTAAGGGACAACGTGGGTTAAACCAGAAAAGGAAGTGAGCCTCGTCGCACGTACATCATCTTCTCGTGCAGGCTGGGCTCCTGCACAGAGGAGGGCTCAGTTCAGAAGGACTGACGTGTCAGCCTGGGGCACTGGGGCCGGATTCTGCAGCTGTCCTACGCTGGAACGATGCTACTTATCTTCTCGAAGCTGCTTACATTCTAATTGTTTGCTTGACTGCCAGACTCTCATCCTGGATCACTACTTAACGGAGCCATTTCTTGACGTTCGGTTTTTTATTTGGGAGTGTGTGTGTGTTCCTTCCCTTTGGGTTTTGCACTGCACCAGGAGTTCCCATGTGGGCATCTCTTCAAGTGCCACCTTGGGGGCTCCTGGGATGGGAGGGATGCAACCACATCACTTTTCTATACCTTGGGAATGATAAAACCATTCATGTGCACATCTTTTATACTTCGCCTGGGAATCCCAAGTGGCAACGCATAATTGGCACGCTGGATCTCATGAATCACGGCATTGGTGTAGGGCAATTTCTTCCGATCCTGATAGCAGATTGAATGGGAGGAACCCAGGACATCTTCCATCTCTTTGTAGACTTTATCTGAGGGAAGGAATGGAAAAAGATACCTTACTTGGCTACTGTTGTGTTATTTCAGAAAATCAGGCAATCTCTGAGAAACATTTATACCACAGGAAATTATTCCATGTAGTTACGTGAAAATATCCTGAATACCCATTGAGCTTTAAATGTTAACACATTTAAATAGTGCCTAAAATGTGAAATGGTATCCCAAATAAAAAACAGGGAGGACGATGAAGTTCTTCTAGCTCAAGAGGTTCACAAAAACTTGTGGAACTGAGCTAAAATTGGCCAGTGATATTAGACATGGACTGCGGCAGAGGGCATTGTCTGAGGATAGCCATGAAGACTTATCCAGGGTTAGGAAAAGTGAGACTAGCCAAACAAAGGGACATTGCCCCACTCAGTCTTATGGCCCCAGGCCTTATGGCATTCGTCACCCACCTCCAAGGCCATGGGCAGAGCTGCAAGCTCCAAAGGAAAAAGCCCCTGTTGGATTTTCACCCTGCCCCTTGCCCTTCCAGCTGCTGCAGGAAGCTCTGGAGCAGTTCCTCCTCCAAAGTTGGAACCACCTGCTCAGGTGAGGAGAAAGCACACCTGTGGGCAGGGAGGAAAGGGAGGAGGAAAAGCCAAGGTGTGCTGTGGCTTTTTTCAGATCTGGCAATGCAACTCAGGCAGCTAGGTCAGAAACCTGTCTAACGAAGACAAAGGCTAAAATCACCTCCATCAGCCCCCCGCCCTCACTGAGAAGCCGCCAAGGCCTGTGGGTGGAGCAGCACCGCAATTAAGTTTTTTATACCACCAAAACCCACCTGGGAAATGCCTGCCCTCTGATTTCTTTGACTTTTCAGTGCAACTAATTCTGGCATTATGGACAAGCCACGATGGAAAGAAATCTGCCTTCTGCACAAGTCAGGACCAAAGGAAAACAAGCAGGCCAATCTAACCACTTAACAAGCAAAAGTCTTACTCTGATTACAGTATTACAACTGGAGAGTGATCCCAGTCCCTCTGCGGACAATATTGGGCTGTCACCTTGCTTTCAAAGCAGGATCAATCAGAAAACCACCTTTTGAGGGATCAGTTTTGACGTCACTCCCAAAGCTGTAGGAGGACCTTTAAAGATATAAGACCTTTCTTATATCTCCATACGTCTAGGTATCTCTACAATATATCTTAGATATGTCAAAGTTCCTGAATTGAGATGGGTCTACCTGTTGCTGATATCTATCAAACATCAGAATTTCTGCTGCATCTTTTCCAAGATCATAATCTTGGGGGTTTGACTTATCAATATTTCAGTTTTCTTTTTCATTTGCCAAATGTAGCCCATATGCAGGCCCACATAGGTGAAGAGTGTCATCAGCATGCAAATCCGTGGGAATTAGGAGGCTCAATTGAAGACAGAAAGAATTCTGAGCCAGAACATCTCTGAATTAAATAAGTAAGAAAAAGTCAGGAAGAGAAAGAACAGCTTTGCTTAAGTCCATGGTTTAGTGGAATTACAGCAGTCAAGGAACTGGAAAAATCCCCTGCTCAGTGCAGGACTCCCAGTCAAACCATCTCTCTCAGAGGGCTGTCCAGCTGCATCATCGATGCCTCCAGGATGGGAGAGCCCACCACCTTCCCAGGGGTTGGGTTCCATTAGTAGACTGCCCTACAGTGCGGAAATTTTTCCTGGCATCTAGCCTGAATCTGGTTCCCTGTAAGTTGTCTGTTGTTCCATGTCCTGAACACTGGCATGATCGAGAAGAGATCCTGGCCTTCCTCTTTGTGACAGTCTTTCAAGGACTTCTAGAGTGCCATCATATCGTCCCTCAGCCTTCTCTTCTCAAGGCTTTGTCAACTGCCCAGAAAGCTTCAGCTGTTGGACAGTATAGAAATTGGATAAAGAAATAAATTTGCCTGTCTTTTTCAAACTCTAAGGAGAGAGATTGTTTCCAGTCCTGGTTTCATCCCCATTGCCCTCCTCTGAACCCTTCCCAGCTTGCCTGCCTCTCTCTTCAACCGAGGTGCCCAGAACTGGACCCAGGACCCAGACGAGGCCTAACCAGTCCCAGTAAAGGGGAACCGGCACTTCATGTCATTCGGAAGCAATACTTCTATTAATACATCCTAAAATAGCACTTTATTTTTTGCAGCTCCATCACATTGTCGGCTCCACTTCATCTTGTGATCTACAATAATTCCAGGATCCTTCTCACCTGCATCTTCTTGAGCCAAGTATTCCCCATCTTGTCACTATGCGTTTGGTTTCTTTTTCCTGGGTGCAGAACTTGGCATTCGTCCCTAGTGAATTTGTTTCTGCTGTTTTCAGCCCAGCGCTCCTACCTATCCAGATCACCTCGGATCTTCCTTTTATCTTCCGGGGCCTTAGCTATCCCACCCAGTTTTGTGTCAAAACGTAGAGTGACCAAAATGTTTTTGGCCATCTTGATAAAGTGTCCGGAGAGGGAGGGGAGCAGCTGCGGCATTGATAGGAACTGGGGTAGGTAAATAACCCCAGACATCTCCCCTCCCGGCACAGCCTGTTCCCCACCCTCCAGGGTGCACTTCCACACTTGGGAAGGCAGCTTCGTGGATCTTCCTGGACCAGCTGCGAGGGAAGTGGCCCAGGGCTGGGCCTCACCCTTTGGAATTCTAAGTCACAGAACCTCAGGACTGAGACCCCGAAGCATGCAATCCCCCACCCACCCCCAGTGATGTGGAGAAGCCATGGCACTGCGCCCCGCTCTGACGTTAAGATTACCAAGCTGTTGATCTGGCTATTCAATCTCCCATCTAATCTGTTCGCTTAAGCAATGTGGGAAACAGATCAGGAGTAATTAAATGCTTATCATCCACAAAGGCATCTTTCAACCACCTACATTTGACTTCACTATCAGTTCCATTTACTTTGAAGTAACTCCCTTTTGTCCTGTGTCAGATGAGTTAAGACTGGAAGAGTTTGTGGTATTTTCTGGATGTCCTCGTTTTAGTGGCCTGATAGGTATGAATTAATATTTATCAGTCAACCCATATGGATCTGTAGGAGGACTGCACATCTCTGATTAACGATCCAATTCTTTCCTACACGGGGTTACCTTGGACATCTGGGTGAGCCACCATGAGGAGCAGCGCCCAGTGCAAAGTCGTGGCAGTCGTCTCTGTTCCTGCAATAAAGAGCTCAAGGATAGTCTCAGAAAGATTCTCCTCGTTAAAGCTGGAAGACGGGTTGTTCTTGTTCTGTTGTTGGTAATAGAAAAGATGAAATGTTGAAAACAGGCTGCAGGTATTTATGGCTCTTGATCTCTGAGAGCGACCATGAGGGGCCCCAACTGAGAAGGAAAGAACAAAGACGCCACCAAGGCTTTTGGTTGGGGAATTCATCAATATGGAGCCCATGCTGGAGTAAAAGTCCCAGATTCAGGGATAGGCAGCAAACCATCAGGACAGTGTGAGGTTCTGGGCCTCTCCCAGGCGGAAGATGCTCTACTTTATATTTGTATTAAACAAGGCCTCAGTAAGCCATCCTGAGGCTCTGCAAAAGGACGGCATATAAATATTCTAAATAAATAAATGTCAGTAACAAACTGAGAGAGTCAGACCATTTCACTCAGTGAGATGGCCTTTTTCTCCTTCTGCTGCCACTTCTGCTCCTGGTGGTAGCAATCAGCTCTCCCCCTTCGAGGAGAGCCTCTCTTTTAACGCTTGCTGCCGAGCTTAGCGACTGGCCCTGGCCTGCAGCAAGAGGAAGCCAGTTTCTCTGAGTAGTGCCATGAAGCCAGGGTGGGATAGGATGGGATGGCATGGGTTTGGGATTACACGAAGGGAGAGGTTTGGGTCTGAATGGGGCAGCAAGACTGCCTGAAGGACGGCTGGGGAACATGGTGGTGGTTTCTGACCACCATCCTGTCTTGGGATAGAACTAGATACTCACCTTCTCTATCTGAAGTAGATAGAAATCAATGAAATCCTGTGGCTCATGCCGAGTCTGTTCTTTATGTTTCTCAATTTCCTTCCTCGCAAACGAAAGCACTAGCTGTGAGAAGGACAGGGCCTTCTGATGAGGCCCTGGGAGGTGGATAAAGATCGAAGGGAACAGCTCAGCAACCTGCAGGAAAGGGGAAACAGCACTCTATCACTGGCAGGCATAAACCTCACCCGTCGCCATTTTCTTCGGATCGGCACTCCACCATCACCTCCTGGGTCTTTTTTTTTCCGGGGAGGGGGAGCTACACAGTGGTACGTGCTGTTTGTTTGAGTTGTTCCTGGATGTCAAGTGACAGCAATGGGCAAGAGCCACTCCGAGCCACTCCGAGCTACCCCAGCTGCTTTCTGGTTGTCGCCATTTCATAGAGCAGCCAGACTTAGCTGCAGTCACTCCTGTCCTGGGTAGGCAGTCAGAGTTAGACTGGATCAGAAGACAGCCTAGCTGGCCCAGGAATGCGGCTGCCCAGACAATAGTATTTGTGGGTTTCATGGACGGTTTCGAGCCACGCAGAGCACTTTGGTCAGCAGATGGGTTAGGGTTGAAGACACTGATGGGTACAGAGAACAGGGCTCTCACACCACCGTTACTTATGGATTTGATGTCCATGCCTTCCCATAGCCATTGTTCTCTGGGAGAGGTACAATTCTTTCAATATAATCAAATGCACTAAAAACTACAAATAGCATCACAAACTTGATTAAATTTCACTATAGTGATTTAAAATTGCATTCTTATATGACTTAAACTACGAAGGTTCATACGACTGAGTTCGTTAAAGCAGCTCACATAACCACCGACTCATCCACCTATATAAAAATGACATAAACAAGTAAAGAGATGCTACTGAGTGCTGCCAGATGCTTCCTCCTAAAGAGCAGCCTTAACTGGGTGCCAGAGGGTGGCAGGTCTCACACCTGGCCGGCCTCCCGTTTCTTCTTCTTGCCATTCCTGTCATGCCAAAAGTCAGGCATCCTCGCAGTCAGGCTGCCTTTAAGTGTGGTTGCCTTGGACAAAGATACTGAATGGCCCTTGAGCCATCCATCTCTTGGGGTTTTCAGCAAGAAGCTCTTTCTCCCGTGTTTATTTTTGCCACCCTGCTGGTTACATTTTTTTCCTGGCTTCAGTGCAAGTCACAAGTGTTGAGGTCTAAAACCTGTATTGACCTACAACTGGGAAACTGTGACACTGGGCTCCTCCCATGTAAACATTCCTGAATTTGCAAGTCAGCTTCCAACTTGCCTATTGCAGGGCAGGGCAGGGCAGCACCCTCTCCCCTGCATATCTGGTATCCTGGAAGCCGCAAGTAATCAAGATAGGGACTCCCCACGCCCAGCAAGTCACCGGCTCGGTGTCTTCTCCTGCTCCAGCATCCCGCAAGGTGCTCCATCGGAGTGGGTGCCCATACAGAGCGCTTCCCTCTTCCTCTCGGTCCCCTCGTCTGTCTGTCTCCCACCTACAGGCATGGCAGGTTTCCTTGCACTGCATTTGCCTAGCCCACTGGCGGCCCAGGTAGGCACCCCGAGTCAACTTTAATGGTCCGGATTTCATAGAATCATAGAATAGTAGATTGGAAGGGGCCATGAAGACCATCAGGTCCACCCCCCCTGCTGTTGCAGGACACCACGTTACACCAGCCCACTCAGAGGGCTGTCCAGTTTCTTTCTGAATGTCTCTAGTGTGGGAGAACCCACCACCTCTCCAGGCAGCTGGTCCCACTGTCGTCTTGCTCTGACAGTGAGGAAGCTTTTCCTGATGTCCAGCCTGAATCTGGGTTGTCGCAACTTGACTTGATTATTCCGTGTCCTACCCTCTGGCACCAGTAAGAAGAGATCTTGACCTTCCTCTTTGTGACATCCTTTGAGGTACTTACAGAGGGATATCATGTCCCCCCTCGGTCTTCGCTTCTCAAGGCTGAACATGCCCAGTTCTCTTTTCCTCCAGCTCTCCTGTGCAGAGGTTCTGAGCACATTTTCCATCCGGTTCTTCCTCTGCAAGCATCAAGACTGTGCAAAGCAATGCTCCAATCTTGGGCGTCTTTATCTTTTGCTTGCTGCACCCTCACCCTAGGCTTCTTCTTCAGCTGAAAGGATCCATCCCTGTTTGTGTTGCAATTTGCAGCAGGGCACATGTGTCTGCTTGCTCATTCGCAAACATCTCTGCTTATGATCTGCCTACTTGAGACATCGGCCAGTCCTTCTTGCATGCTTGCTATGAAAATGGACTGGCCCCCCAGTGCATCTTCGGCTGGAAGCGAACTCCTGTGGGATCCAGGGGTCTGAACTGCAAGCACACGTGCGCAAGATCGCTCTGGTGGAATTTAGGTCTCTCTGCGTGTCGCTTATCTGGAGAACGCAACCTTCACAGGGACTGGGTGAATGGGCAGTCATGCTTGCTTAATTGTTCACTGCAGAAGCCCAATTAAGTGCATACAACTGGGTTATGCAAATTGGGTTCCACCTCTGCTTGCTGTCTTTATATGGTGTTAAGGCAGGACTGTTGGGAAAATCCGCAGTAGACCCGACATGTGTAGATGTCCCCCAGTTCGTCCCACAGGTTCAGCAGAGGGCTGGCTTTCTTTGGAACTCCTGCACCACTGTTGCTGCTGCTGCGGCTGCTGGCATTACATTTTTATTTTTGCTGGAGTAGCCACTAAAAATACGTCATATAAAAATGCACAAACTCCATCCAAAGCCTAAAGTTTGGAAATATGCATTTTTTGGTCAAGGGGTATGCAGTTTTGGCCAATTTGCACAGATTTGCAAATTCGTCAACAGGAAAACAACCATGAAAGCCAGCCCCCAGCCAGCAAAAATGACCAAGGAATGACTTTCACTCCATTTGTACCCCGCTAGGGAACACCCACTGAAAACAGGGGGCCTTACTTCTGTGTAAACATGCTCTGTGTACCTGGGATCCCTTCTGCAAAGGAGGCTTTGGTGTGTTCCACTGATCCCCCTGGCTTTCTGCATTGCCCTCCTGATTTTAAAATGTAAGTAAGGTACGTAGGTAAGAAACCCGGGTGAACAGTACAATAAATGTGAGTGCAAATGTAATGCAATGCTCTACAAAGAGGGAAAGGAGAGAACATTGGATCTCCTCGGTGCTACCTGTGGTGACCCTGCCCTCCAGCCCACAAGCTCCGTTGGGCACCTGCCACCAGCGCCAGTGCTTCAGGTCCTGCTCTGTGCTCCATCACCATTAGAAACCCGATCGGTGGGCCTAAGTCACAGGGGCTTCTCTGTGGTGGCCCCAGCATGGGATTCATCCTCCTTCTGCATTTAGGAGAGCTTGTAAAAAGGGTTAGGTCCTGTTTCTAATGGTTGCCCAGCCTCTTCTTGCTTTTCTTGGGATTATATTTTTTATTGTACACACCAAAAACAAGAGACTGCTTTGATCCTATTTTGGAAAATAGTTTGATTTAGCTTGGACTACTTTGGAGGTGGCCAGTTTGAGCCAAAACTAAATCAAAACTGAATGAATTTTATGAAGTTCTCCACTGGTTTACATAGGGAATTAGCGCAGGGTTATAATTTCTTTCCTTTCAAGATAATTAGATAAAATTGCAGGCCTGATTTGCAGCCCCCTCTCCATGGATAGAAGCTACCACATTTCAGAAAAATAGATTCAGCAAGTGGCATGTCTGTTGTAATGAACTGTGTAGAACTTTGCTATCTTCCAGCAGAATTGGATGACATTTGCCAGCATAGCTGTCTATACCAAGAAAAAGACGTTTGTCAAAGTTCAGAAAGATTTTGTGCCTGTGCCAAACAGGTCTTGCAGACATGTGGCTTTCCAAATGTGTTTGGACTACCACTCCCAGTAGCCCTAGCCGTGGGCCGCACTGGCTGGATTGATTGAGTCTAGGATCTTGTGGGCCACTCATCCTGTGGGCCTGCTTCAGAATCTGCAGGCTGGAAAAGCGTCTGTCCTTCCCTTTGTTGTGCTGTGTGCAGGGATGAACAGGAACACAAAGCTAGATGTTCCTTGACTAAGTGCAGCATTCTAACCCCTGGATTACGTCTAGAAAGGCTGCCTTCAGCTTAGAGTCTCTCTCTGGCCCAGTAGGAAAGAAACAGGGGACTCACGGTATGGCACATGGTGCACCCAAACTTCAGAAGGAAATCAACGGCATCTATCATTTCCTGGAACTCTTTATCTTCAAGGGAAAATCGATATCCAAAGGCCAACACACAGATCAGACTGGAGACTGAATTGGTGATGGGTAGGAGAGGATCGAACGGCTGCCCTGAAAATGAAGTCATTGTTCATTTTTATATCACTCCACAGCCAAAGCCCTCTGGGTGCTTTACAATAATCCATAAAACATACGATTAAAATGCAATAAAATATCAGAAAATCAGAAAAAATCATTTAAAAATTAATAGCAAAGAATGCTCTGGAAAACAGCTGGAATGGGCAATCCCTTTGAAACACCTGGAAGGCCAGGTAAGTCTTTCAAGGCCTTGGGGAAAGGGGCTGTCTTAACCTGGCACCAAAAAGCTGATCTTTGGTATCAGGCAGGCCACTGTGCCAAGGTTGTTCCATAGGAGGGGCCACCAGAGAGAAAGCCCTCCCCCTTGTTGCACCCTAACCCCAACAAAGGTCCCGGAGGTGAAGCATAATGCCTGAATAGATTGTGGCTGGGAGAGGCACTGTAAAAGGTATTGCAGTCCTAAGCCAGGCAGGTTAAAACCTGCACCTTGAACTGGGACTGGAAGCATACAGGCAGCCGCTGTGAGCAGGCCAGATCTGGCCTCATGTGTTTGGGCCTACCAGTCCAGGGCTTTAATCCGGCTACCACATTCTGCACCAGCTGCAGCATCTGAACCGTCTTCAAGGGCGACTGCATGTAGATTGCTCTGCAGTAATCTAATTTAGAGATTAGGGATTACTGGAGCAGAAGTGACTGAAGCCAGGTGGTCCCTGTCCAGGTAGGGGAGTGGCTGGGCAACAGCAGAGGCGCTCCAAGCTCCTGGTGCCGCCTGAGCGTCAAGTGACAAAGATGGACCAAAGGTCACCCCATGCTATGAACCTGCTCCTTCAGCGCCATCCAGAACAGGCTGGACGACCATTTAGAGTCATATTAATACTATGCTGACTTGCATATTCGTGGAATTTCATGATGGAGCTGGGGAGAATGTTGACACTGAAGACAATGTTTGCGTTGCGTTGCATCGCATTGCGAAACATGTAAAACAAAATGAAAGGGAAACCTTAGTCCAAAATGTACATCATATGACAGACAACGCACCAGCTCCAAACACTGCATACCCTTTGCACTCGCAAAAACCTCCACAAGCCGATGGGTCTCCACTTGGATTTGGCTCTCCATGCCTTTCTTCCCCAGCCCCAACTGCCGCATAACACCCACTCCGAACCGTCTCTGCTGCTTCCAGACGCGACCATTGGAAAGCACAATACCTGCAGCCATCGAGAATCAATGAGAAAGCAATGCTTGCAAAAGGAACACAAATCATTAACGTGTTTTTCGGTTTCCAGCATGGCACATGCCACATGGACAGTGCCAGGATGCTGCAAAACCCAGCTCCTGGAAGGCTGCTTGAGCTATGATATTCTTTGGAAACTGGCCAGCGCTACATTTTCTAGAAACCATCGAAGAGGCCCTTGTTCTTTTCCACCTTGTAGCACTGAAACATTTGGGCTGTTTCATACAACAAATCCCCACCTCCACATGCTACAATTTACACTGTCACACCAATGTGCCATAATCTATGGATTCTACAGTTCTACAGATTAGATCTGTGATGGGGAAATCTGGCACCATGCTATACTAGAGGGTATTGCATTCGGCAAAAACTAAATGTGTGGACATCACAAATGCATGCATATTTCTGTATCTTTAAGCCTTAGTATAGTCCGGCTCAAGTTTATCAACATACTCAAAGAACTCAAAAAGTTGGTGAGCCAGGACTTATCTCTGCAGAAGACATGCTGGGTTTTTGCTCAGCAGGGCTTGTCCCAGCTAGTCTATCTTTAATCATGTTTTCAACAGAACAGACCTTAAGCTGATTAGGTTGTCATAACCTGAATCCCCCTAGATCACCTTATAGAAATTAGGAAATTTCAAGGGGATTTCTAAGGGAATTAGGGGATTTCATCAGCCATTCTGCAGACCCTTGGTGAACAGGCTGATAGTAAGGACACGTTACATATTATGCTAGAAGATCAGCAATTTCATATTAGAGTCCTTTAAAATACTCCAGAAAAGATCCCATCTGGGCCTGGTGGCACCGAAATGGGTTTCATCCTCTCTTTTCAGACAGGCTCATAAGATGACCAAACAATAGTTTGGTCTTCTTGGGCTCCAAACTTAATAAACCCATCTCTTCTGGTGCTGCTCATTACTGTGCTTTAATTAGAGGGAGTTGTGTCTTTCATTAGAGGTATGCACCAAAAACAAGAGTTCGTTTTGACCCTGCTTTTGAAAAATACTTTGATTTGCTTTGGGCTGCTTTGGAGTTGTGACCGATGGATCAGCCAAGTTCCCAAGATTGCTCAGATGCTTCAGTTCAGCACCGCAACAGAAAATAGCAAAACTAACCCTACTCCACATCACCTAAGTAATGGGTCTCCTGGGAGTAGAGGTCCATCCCAACTGGTCACCAAGAGCAATTGGTCAATTCCCACCTGGGCCTGGTTGCTTGTGAGCGTTCAGCTCGTCCGCTGGTCAGTTGGTCCACTCCATTTTGCCCTTACAGCAACAGCCCTGTGAGGTAGGCTAGGCTGAGGGTGATGGACTGGCCCAAAGGCTCCCAGTGAGCCTCATGGCCAAGGGGGTATCTGGACCCAGATCTCCTCAGCCCCCAGCCAGTGTGGAGTCGTGGTTAAGAGCACGGGACTGGGACTCAGACGATCCGGGTTCGAGTCCCCGCTCAGCCATGGAGCCAACCGGGTGACTTTGGGCCAGTCACAGACTCTCAGCCCAACCTACCTCACAGGGTGGTTGTTGTGGGGATGAGATGGAGGAGGAGAATGATGTAAGCTGCCTTGAGCCCTTTGTAAGAAAAAGGCAGGATATAAATCCAAAAATAAATAAATAAAATAAATATACCCTCTCAGAACCTGACTTTCCAGCACTGGATCACACCTAATTGATGTGCTTCCTTGCTCCACTCCAGCCCTGCATGAGAAGGGCCGATAAACACTTGCTGCGGAAGACAGCTCTTGGCCAAACTTCCCAAGGACGTACGGAAAAGATTCACATGTTTCCATTAGTTTTATGCCTAATGTTCACTTTTTTCATAACTTTTTTTTGTCGTGCATTACAAGATGGAACCACCCACACCTTAAAGAAAAGAAGGGAGGTATCGGATGCTAGGTTATGTTCAGCAAATTAATTCAGCAAGAATTGATGTTCTAAGTATACTAAACATCAAAGTCTTTTCTTCAACTTTTCTACATGGTTTCCCCCTTGGACCTTCGGCTTTCCATCTAAGACCACCTGAACTTGAATTTGGTCACAACTGCCTTTCCTCTTCACTGTTTAATCCAAACTGCTGTGCAACCTTTAGAGGGTGCTAGAATGCAAGAGATGAAGGCAGAATTTTCATTAAAGGCTGCTGGTAGCTAATTCAGCAGGTTGCAATAATCGGTTATAGACAGACAGCAGCTGCGAATGGCCCTTCATCAACCCAGGATGCCAAAATAAAGCAACAAATAAATTCAGATCTCTTACCAAAGTTTCCATTCAATGGGGAACGGAAATTTGAATGGTCTACTGCTCTCAAATCATCAGGAGATTTAAAAAAAAACAGGGCTCACAGGTACAAGAAATGACATTTCAACAGTAGTCAATGAGACACTTTGCAGAGGAATAAAAAATCTAGTTACTACAGGGATGCATAAACAAGAGCAGGAGCAACGACAAAACATTTCAATTGTAAGAACATCTCCGGGATCTAGAAAAGTGCAGCAGATGCCAAAATCTGATGCTACAGGAATGTGCTGATCAAAGGGATGGAAGGGTTGCAATGACAGCATTGCCCAGGACATGCTTCCCAGATCCAGTAATCCTGGTATCAGATTACCAGGCTGGGGTTAAGCTATGGGGAGCTCTTGTGCTCAAAGGACAAGAGGACTGCTGGCCAAGAGACATGCTTAGCAGGTGTGGGAATGGAGCTGTAAAAACGGGGTACTTCAGGAGGCCCGCATTCTTCAAAAGACAGAACAGGCAAGCGTGCCAACATTTCCAGCTTCTGTGCCCAAAGACCCTGCAGTGACATTGATCCTGCGGCCCATTGGGGTGCCTCTGACTCTTCCAACCCAGCAGATTATGAGCATCCAACAGAAGAGGGGAGGAGCAAGGAAATAACGGATGCTTCTGCAATTGCCCCACTCAGAAAAGCACTGATTGATTTCATCCATCTAAGCTTAGTGCTATCTGGGAGGAGGGGGAACTCTGGATAAGTCATAACTGGACGGCACCAGTATCTTGCCTGCTTGTCCCTGGAATAGCCCCCAGCATTATTCTCTGGGGACAGTTTTGTGACCGTGGAAAAACACTCAGCGGTTCTTGCTAGGCTAGGTAGGGACACATTCTAAACACATTCCAAACTTCAGAATCATACCAGGACACTTCATTTTTCTAACCCTACCCCTACCCTGGCGCACACCCCTAACCCTACTATAGGGTGAAAGTTCCACTGAACATAATGGGATTTTGAAACAGCCCTCCTTGAGTGGCTTTTCCTGCACTGCTCAACATTTCTGCCCATTCTAAACACATTCCAACCATCAAAATCATGCCAGGACACCTTGTTTTTCTAACCCTAACCCTACCCTGGCACACACCCCAAACCCTAATATAGGGCAAAAGTTCCACTGAAACTCATGCGATTTTGAAAAAGCCCTCCTTGAGTAGCTTTTTCTGCACATCTCAACCTTTCTGCACATTCTAAACACATTCCCACCATCAAAAACATGCCAGGATGCCTCGTTTTTCCAACGTTGTTTTTGCATGAGTTTGCTGAAGACTCGGGGCGGCTCACAACACAATAAAATACAATAAAATACAAAAATAACAATATAAAATTAACAATAATAAATAACAATATAAAAGAAGTCGCCCTGGCCAGATAAATAAGCAGATATTATTAACAATTAAAATGACGTTTAAATAAAAAGGTCTTCACCTGGCGCTGAAAAACAAATAACGACGACACCAGGCGGACCTCTCTGGGAAGCGCATTCCATAGATTGGACGCCACCGCAGAGAAAGCCCTCCTCCGAGGACCTATCTTCCTAATTTCTTTCACGGAGGGTTCCTGGAGAAGGGCCTCTCCCGCAGATCTCAAGGGGCGGCCGGGCATGTATGGATGTAAGCGCTCCTTCAGGTAACCAGGACCCAAGCCGTTTAGGGCTTTATAGGTCATCACCAACACCTTGAATTGGGCCCGGACTTCAATGGGAAGCCAGTGAACCTGACGGAGGACTGGAGTCATGTGAACATTACGCCCCGTCCCCGTCAGCAGCCTGGCAGCTCTATTTTGAACCAATTGAAGTATCCGGACCGTCTTCAAGGGTAGCCCCACGTAAAGCGCGTTACAGAAGTCAAGGCGGGAAGTCACCAGCGCGTGTGTCACTGTCACCAGGCAGTCATACTCCAGGTATGGGCGCAGCTGATGAATCAGCCGAAGCTGAAGGGAAGCGCTCCTCGCCACTGCTGTCACCTGAGCTTCCAGTGAAAGCTCCGGGTCAAGGAGCACTCCCAAGCTGCGGACCTTGTCCCTAAGAGGGAGTGCAACCCCATTCAGGACCAGGTCAAATCCACCATCTCTGAAGCCCGATCCGCCAACCAACAGGACCTCCATCTTGTCTGGATTGAGCTTCAGTTTATTGGCCCTCATCCAGCCCATTACCTCAGCCAGGCACCAGTTCAGCACAGCCACTGCCTCACCTGGATTGGTGGAAAACGAGAGGTAGAGCTGGGTATCATCAGCATACTGATGATTCCGCAGCCCACACCTCCTGATGACCTCTCCCAGCGGTTTCATGTAGATGTTAAACAGCAAAGGGGACAAAATGGACCCCTGCCATGGCATAGCTGCCATGGTGCAGAGCCATAGTCCCCCAGCACCACCTTCTGGAATCGGCCATTGAGATAGAAGCGGAACCACTGCAAAGCAGTGCCTCCGACCCCCAATCCCGCTAGCCTATCCAGAAGGATACCATGGTCGATGGTATCGAAAGCCGCTGAGAGGTCCAGGAGAACCAACAGGGACGCACTCCCCCCTGTCCTTCTGCCTGCACAGGTCATCGTACAGGGCGACCAAGGCAGATTCAGTACCATACCCGGGTCTGAAGCTGGACTGAAATGGGCCCAGATAATCAGTTTCATCCAAGAGTGCTTGGAGTTGTCCCGCCACCACCCGCTCCAACACCTTGACCAGAAACGGGATGTTGGCCACTGTTCTATAGTTAGTGGCCATCTCTGGATCCAGTGACGCTTTCTTCAGGACCGGTCGGACTACCGCCTCCTTTAAAGGGGCAGGCACCCGACCCTCCCTCAGAGAAGCGTTAACCACTTCCAAGATCCAGGTCCCAATCCCGTGCTTAGAATTATTTATTAACCAAGATGGACAAGGGTCCAATAGGCAAGTGGTGGGACGTACTCATCCAAGCACCTTGTCCACATCATCGGGCCGCAATAACTGAAATTCATCCAATAATTGTGGACCAGACAGCAGCATTGGCGTCTCCCCAGAAATCTCTGATTCATTAGTGGAGTCCAGCTCGTGACGAATCTCAGCGATTTTCACCCTAAAATGCCTGGCAAAGTCGTCACAGCGGGCCGTTGAGGGTGGAACCAGATCTTCCTTAGGACCCGGGCGAACCAGGCATTATGTTCAGTGGAACTTTGGCCCTGAATTAGGGTTAGGGTTGTGCGCCAGGATAGGGTTAGGGTTAGAAAAATGAGGCATCCTGGCGTGTTTTTGATGGTTGGAATGTGTTTAGAATGGGCAGAAATGTTGAGCAGTGCAGGAAAAGCTGCTCAAAGAAGGCTGTTGCAAAATCCCATTATGTTCAGTGGAACTTTGGCCCTATATTAGGGTTAGGGGTGTGCACCAGGGTAGGGTTAGGGTTAGAAAAACAAGGCATCCTGGCATGTTTTTGATGGTGGGAATGTGTTTAGAATGGGCAGAAATGTTGAGATGTGCAGAAAAAGGTACTCAGGGAGGGCTTTTTCAAAATCGCATGAGTTTCAGTGGAACTTTGGCCCTATAATAGGGTTAGGGGTGTGCGCCAGGGTAGGGATAGGGTTAGAAAGATGAGGTGTCCTGGCATGTTTTTGATGGTGGGAATGTGTTTAGAATG